ACATTTCCCTCACCTCTTCATGGATGGGAATTGGAGTACACAGGTGCTAGAGCTAGCAGGCCACTTTGGTGCTGGTAGGGGTAGACTCCAATCTCTCAGTCCTGCTGCGTTTTACCCCTTGCGGGAGGGGGAGTACAGGTGAGTGGGTGCAGGAGCTGGGGTGAGTGCTTTTGGGCACTGGCAGGAACAAAACTTTGTGTGGGCCTCATGACAGCATTTAGGGGAGAGCCCACTACCTCTCAAGTTTCAGTAAGTGTGTTACAGTGTCCTTTTAGCTTTCCTGTCTGTGGATGGCTTAAGTGTTAACAGCTAATGGAGGGTCAGGGTGACAGCCTTTTGCACCCGCACTTGTGGCATCTGCATCCTTGCCTGGCATCCGGGATGAATGAGGTTACATGAAGGGATTGGAGATGGTAAATGTGGGGGATTTTGTTGGTGATGAAAGTGGCTCTCAGCTGGAAGGGGAGCTGAAAAGGGAAAAGAGTGGGAGGGTGAACTTCCCTTGGAGTCCAGTCATCCCCAGCTGGACTCCTTCCAAGGCTATGTTGTCAATCTGTCCATCTGAAGTCAAGCTGCTTCTCTCCAGTGTCCAACCATAGACTCCAGCATCCAGCTGCTTCTCCTTTCTCTGCTGGCTGAGCCAGATGGTGCCCATAAAAGCCATGTGTAGTTTTGGAAAAGGCAACATTCAAGTGGGACAACAGGGATATGTACTCCCACTTTGGGTTGCAATATTAGGCTTTTTGGCTTTAGGGTGGAACCCTTGATGGGGACCTGCTCTCTTCTCTCCAGAGTTTCCCTGCCTCTGGTCCTTATCACTAATCTGCAGTTCAGGGCACAAATAAATGTATTTTTATCTTTCTGTGATGCTTCAAGTGACTTTATTATCTTGCAATATCTTAGAGTCATCATAATTAACATAGTATTGTTTGACCATAAATGTATACCAATGCAAGTTACAGAGAGCTGTGCTTAATAGGAAGCTGAATATGAATTATTCATTGAGATACTAACGTGTGCCTAGTATAGCAATAATATGAGGGAATCTGTGGGGATCGCTCCTGTGTGAGGCCCCTGGGAAATGGGCCTCGCCATACGGTGAGCTTGAGCCCAGACACAGATCCCTGGTTGGGTGGGGGAATCAAGCTGAGGGAAAGCAGGAACCGAGAGAGGGACTACGTTATTCTAAATAATTAACAGACATTACTTTATGGATATGAGGACTTGGGAGGCAATGTGTCCACTTTCGGCTTCTTATGGTTTATTGCTTGATTGTGTTCATTTTGGACCCTTGTTACCTTCATTGTAAAATATTAACTTAAAGTATTTACACTTGGTAACTTACTTACTGTAACTTACTGGGTATAACTGTAACTTAATCTAACTTACAGAGCGTAACTGTAACTTACTTACCATAGCTTATAGGGCGTGACTGTAATTTACTTACCTTGACCTATTGGGCGTAACCTACTTACTGGGTGTAACCTACTTACTGGGCTTAACTTACTTACTGGGCGTAACTTAGTGGGCGTAACTTGCTTACTGTAACTTAAGTATGTTGATCTGGTGTAAACAACTTCGACTTCAGAAAAGTATATAATGAAACGTATTGCAAAAATAAAATTGCTGCTTGGACATAGCCTAAGCCAGCCCTCCAGACTCCGCTTTTCTCTTTTCTTTCACTTCCGCACACTCTCCCACTCAGGTTGAACGAGACATCTACGTTGGCGGTCTCGGGGACTCCCGCAGGTCAGTAGCCCCCCGGCAGACGTGCCAGACCCCAACAATAATAAGTAAAGAAAAAACAGGTAAACAAACACAAAAAGGGAAAAATAAAAAGACATATTCCTTGCTTAATTTGTTATCGTAAGCCTAGAGAAGACATTACAAGTGGTCAGAATACTGATGTTAGGATTCTGACCTTTCACTTGTTATGTAACCTAGGGCCATATACGTAACTTTTTAGTGCTTGGGTTTTTTCATTTGTAAAATATTATTTGTAGACTATTAGTATCTTTCTCATTAAGGAGTTATGAGGTTTAGCTAGGGTTAAACAAAAAAAAACTACTTCATACTGAATGTATAAACTAAATTTCTTTAGGAAATAATGTATGCATTGTGATCTACTTAATAAGTTTTACTGTTACTTTATTTGGTTTCCAGGTAATACAAAATAATAATGTGTCTATTTGAATTGCAAAAATCAAGCTGGTTTGAATTAAAGAAGTGTGAAAAACTCTTAGGTTGGCAAAATATGTAACACTTGTATCAATTAAAAATAGGTAAAATGTGTTAAAAAATAATGAAAAGTTCATGCTTTAATTGAACTGGCTTTTTTCAAAAGCCTATATTTTTACAAAGCTTAATGAAACAAAAATTGAAATGGTGCCCATTATGAAATCTGTTAATTGTTATTATTCCCATAAAGTTTACATGACTTAAAAAAGTTTTGCAGGGATGCCAACTAGAAATGCATACTACCTGCCTTTCCTTTTCTCTGTATTTATTTTTTGATAATAGAGACCAACATTCGCCACAGCAAACAGAGCATTTACTAAATTGAAAACTTCCTTTAGACATACTAGAAACTTTTGACACAAGTTTGCTAGAATCGCAGGGTATCTTTTTCTGTCTGACAGAACTTCCTTCATTCTTCCTGGTTTCATCAAGTGCAAGACTGTTTCTCTACTAATCTCCAATACCGTCATCATCTTAAATATGGTTGTGCTGGAAGGCACTGCAATATTAATTAAAAATACAGTCTAATTATTTACCCTAGTTGGTTCATACAAACCTCTTTGGTATAATCAGTGGACTCCCTTAAGGGGTTTCACGGTATTTTGGAGTGAAATAGAAAGGTTTGTTTCTGACTTGCACTTGGCTGATGAGTGTAATTAAGTATAACCTACAATTCACCTTTAGGTCACTAGATCAAATACAACTTATCTGGGCAATGTCCAAAGGTATGTGCTGATGTTGACTGAGTGCTGACGGGCGGCATACATAAATGAGTGGAACTTTTAATTTACCTCCAGGCGTCTCAGAGAACATTCCGGGTGTTTCAGAGAGTCAGAGGGAAAGCAGAGGGCAGCCAAACAGGTCCTTCATTTTGGACAGTCCCCAGGACAAAGCACCACAAACCAAGCTGAAGAGCTGCTCAGATGGCTGGAGGTGTTTGGCGGCAACCTCCTCCCACTTCTGGCCTTAGTGCTAACCTAAAGTTGCAGGGCAACCTCTTCTAGCTGTTGGGGGTGTGCTGTGAAGCCTCCTGGATGTGCCTGGGGCTCAGCCATCGGGGAGATTGCCTTCTCAAGGAAAGCAGTGAAGCGTTTCCAGGCCCAGCACATGCTCACATCCAGGCTTCAAAACTATGTCCTTGGGCTCATCTCGCATAACAAGGGATCAATTGATTTCTCAAGGAGACTCAAAGGGTCCATTTGTCTTTCTCACAAATATGTTTTAGAAAGAGTGAGAGTAAGGCCAGGTGCAGTGGCTCAGGCCTGTAATTCCAGAACTTTGTAAGGCTGAGGTGGGCGGATTGCTTGAGCCCCAGAGGTTTAGTCCAGCCAGGACAACACAGTGAAACCCAACTCAAATATATATATATATATATAATTTGAACACCTCCAGAGTTCAAATTACACACACACACACACACAAATAAAAATATATATATATTTGTGTGTGTGTGTGTGTGTAATTTGTATATATAATTATATATTTAATAAATACAAGGGCAGCATGTGCCTGTAGTCCTAGCTACTCAAGAGCCTGAGGTGGGAGGATCACTTGAGCCTGAAAGATGGAGATTACAGTAAGCTGAGATCAAGCCACTGCACTCCAGCCTGGGAAACTGAGCAAGACCCTCTCTCAAAAAAAAAAAAAACGGAATAAAATGCCCCCAACTCCCATCTTAAGAGAAAAATCAGGTCTGAAAGTCCTGCTCAGTTTGAAACATTGAATTGCCTGGCCTAAGGAAGAAGAGAAGTTCATAAGCAGCCCCATAAGTTGGTAAGAGAGTTTGGAAAATGGAAAACAGTGGTAAAAATAAAATAATCTTTAGTTGTAAATATTTAAATTCATTAGAAATAATAGTGGCTGAGGGTAGGCCTGTAATCTCAGCACTTTGGGTGGCTGAGGTGGGTAAATTACTTGAGGCCAGGAATTCGAGACCAGCCTGGCCAACGTGACAAAACCGTGTTGCTACTAAAATACAAAATGAAAATACAAAAATTAGCTAGGCATGGTGATGTACACCTGTAACCCCAGCTACTTGGGAGGCTGAGCCATGAGAATTGAACCCAGGAGGCAGAGGTTGCGATGAGCAGAGATCATGCCACTGTACTCAAGCCTGGGCGACAGAGCAAGGCTCTGTTTTGTTGTTGTTGTTGTTGTTGTTTTGTTTTTTGTTTTAGTTTTGCTCTTGTTGCCCAGGCTGGAGTGCAATGGCCCCATCTTGGCCCATAGCAACCTCCACCTCCAGAGTTCAAGTGATTCTCCTGCCTCAGCCTCCCAAGTAACTGGGGTTACAGGCATGTACTGCCACACTCGGCTAATTTTGTATTTTTACTAGAGACAAGGTTTCTCCATGTTGGTCAGGCTGGTCTCAAACTCCTGACCTCAGGTGATCCACTTGCCTTGGCCTCCCAAAGTGTTGTGATTACAGACGTGAGCCACCGCGCTCAGCCAAGGCTCTGTTTTAAGAAAAACAAAAAGAAATCACAGTGGCTGAACTGTAGATTTATTGATGGATATTGTGGGAAGTAAGAAGAAAATGGTGGTTTAGGCGAGATATGGAAGGCTTTGAATATCTCGAGTGTTTTTTTGAACTATCCAAAGCCAGTTTTACCTGCATAAGCAACTCAACAAGAAGGTCTCAATTCAACTAGAATTGAGTGGGAATAGGTATTTTATATGACTTCAATTGAATTCAATCTAATATTTGGCTAAGTTAAGAATTCCAGGTAGAAATGGACTAATTACGTTTCATAATTCAACAGGTGTTTGCAGTCAGGAAGGTAAATCAAGATGCTGAAGGTTTCCCTGAGGAAGATAGTAAGTGCTGACTCCCTTGGGGTGATCTGTGAAGAGGATAAAGAATAAAGCAACCAGAGACTGTGGCCTTTGGGTTTCTGCCCTGCTGAGAAATGACAAATAGAATCCCAGCCAGCTGGAAGCTCTGATTCACAGAAACAGGGGAGGTCATGTGAAATATGAAGTCAAACAGAAAGAGCTACATTGGAGAGTTGCTAAGTTTTCTTCTAAAACTTGTTAATCTTGATATTGGGGAGTGGACTGGACTTCGGTGGAATCTGCTAGAAAGCATTTTAAAATCACATCTGTTCCTGCAGGTAAGCTGTCTATCATCCATCCATTCGCTTTAAAATATTTATTGAGTTCCTACTATGTGCTAGTTCTGAGATAAACAAAAGCAGGCAGGCCCTTGACCTCAAGGAGCTTACAGTCGATGAAGTACCCAGGGACTTGCTGTACCATGAAAATGTGAACACAGTGTGAGGTGCAGAGAAGAGGTAGACGATGGTCCTACAGACCCTTGTAGGCCAGGGGAAAGATTTTATTTTTAATATTAAAGGAAAGGAGGACCCATTTAATACTTTTAAAATAAATTTTTTAAAATTTATTTTGAGAGAGAGTTTCACTCTGTCACTCAGGCTGGAGTGCAGTGGCACAATCTCAGCTCACTGCAACCTCGACCTCCTGGGTTCAAGTGATTCTCCTGCCTCAGCCTCCTGAGTAGTTGGGACTATAGGTGCATGCCACCACGCCCAGCTAATTTTTGTATATTTTAAGTAGAGATAGGGTTTACGATGTTGACCAGGCTGGTCTTGGACTCCTGACTTCAAGTGATCTGCCTGTCTTGGCCTCCCTCACTGAAGACTTTTAAGTAGGGAAATGATATGATCAGTCAGACTAGCTTCCAAGCTTTGGGTTTTCTTTATCTTCTGCATCTTCATGGGATTTTTTTGGATGCTCAGTTTCTCCCTGCTGACCATGTATGTAGATGCAGTTTTCTAGTGATCTCAGAAAATTGACCAGGGCATGAAAACTGTTGTGTTGATGAACTGCAGAAATGGAAAAGGATAAAGAGACCATTTTTTTCAGTTAAGTTTGGGCCCTCACCACCTTACCACTGGATCACACAGTAGATGTCATTAGTTGGCCTGGATCTGATGCCTGCCAAATTTTCTCAAACAATTGCTCATGGCATGGCCCTATCCAGAACCTCCATCAGGGCCTTAGGGCCACAGAGCTAGAGCTCCTTAGCAGAGCAACCTAGGTCATCCATGGAATGGTTCCTGTTGGTCTTCTATGTGTTATTGGCTATAAAGTTTGCAAAACATCACTTCTTAAACTCATCTAATGGATTGTCAATTTAATGAGATAGTCACAGCTTCTCCATTAAAAAGAAAAAAACAAAAATGGCCAGGTTTGATAGCTCACACCTGTAATTCCAGAATTTTGGGAGGCCAAGGCAGGTGGATCACATGAGGTCAGGAGTTTGAGACCAGCCTGGCCAACATGGGAAAACCCCATCTCTGCTAAAAAAAAAAAAAAAAAATTACAAAAAATTAGGTGGGTATGGTGATACATGTCTGTAGTCCCAGCTACTCGGAGGCTGAGGCATAAGAATTGCTTGAACCTGGGAGGCAGAGGTTACAGCGAGCTGAGATTGTGCCACTGCACTCCAGCCTGGGCAATAGAGCAAGACTCTATCTAAATAAATAAATACCACAAAGAAGGCAGGGGAGTCTATTAGTCAAATACATCAGGAAAACAAACACAATGTGTAATACCCTCACTCTTCCGGAGGCATATGATGTACTTAGCCTCACTAAAGTCTCCAAGAGAGGTCCTGCAGAAATGTGATTACCCCAACACTTCCCAAGCATGATCAATGTTAAACCCTTTTCTCCACCTAACCATGGTTACTTTGTTGAACAGTTTGGGAAACACTGCCCTGGCTTAACCTCTTACTTTTGCCAGGTTAGTTTATTTAAACCCAAATGCACCTTTTGAACTTCTCTTGCTTCTTTTGAACTTCTCTTGTTTATGCTGTTTCTGCCTTTGGGAAAAATCGTCATTATCCTCTCTATCTTTCCAAGCTCATCTAACTCAGATGTCACCTCCTTTATGAAACCCACTCTAATGAGCCTAACTCGGATTGACAATGCTTTTCCTCTGACTTTTGAGGCATTTTTTTTCTTTTTTTTGAGACAGAGTCTCGCTATGTCACCCAGGCTGGAGTGCAGTGGCACCATCTTGGTTTACTGCAACCTCTGCTTCCTGGTTTCAAGTGAATCCCCTGCCTCGGCCATCATGCAGGGTAATTTTTGTATTTTTAGTAAAGACGAGGTTTCACCATGATAGCGAGGTTGGTCTTGAACTCCTGACCTTGTGATCCACCCACCTCAGCCTCCCAAAGTGCTGGGATGACAGGAGTGAGCCATCATACCCAGTCACTTTTGAGGCACTTTTTTAGCTGGGCTATTTTTGGTGCTCCTTTACTACTGCCTTATATTATCCCTTTCACCATTTAAGTTTATAATGGCATTATTTTCATCTTTACTATGTGAAAAACAGCTTTAGATTTTTTTTTTTTTTTTTTTTTTTTTTTTTTTTTGTGAGGTGGAGTCTTGCTCTGTCGTCAGGCTGGAGTGCAGTGGCATGATCTTGGCTCACTGCAACCTCTGCCTGCGAGGTTCAAGCAATTCCCCTGCCTCAGCCTTCCTAGAAGCTGGGACTACAGGTGCACACCACCATGTCTGGCTAATTTTTTGTATTTTTAGTAGAGATGGGGTTTCATTCACCACATTGGTCAGGATGGTCTCTCTCTCCTGACCTCGTGAATTGCCTGCCTCAGCCTCCCAAAGTGCTGGGATTACAGGCGTGAGCCACCACCACCAGCCTAAAATTTCTTGAAGGGATTGATGGTTCTAATTTTTAGGTTGGAAGGCAGAATCATGAAGGAACATGAGCCTCGGATCAAGACAGTTTTTTCAGTCATATTTTGGTTAATCAGCTGCATGACTTTGGGCAAATTATCCAATTTCACTAAGCTTCAGCTTTCTTATCTATAAAACAAGGACAACGAACTCCCCACCTCTTGGAGGAGTTGTGAAGAGTAAATGAGACTGTGCAGTGTCTGATATATTGTAAGCAATCCATACATGTCAGCTGCTGTGGTTATTGTAATTATTATCACATCAATTACCAAGACTGCTAAAAATAAGAAGGTCCCTTTTTTGTTGTAGTGACTGTACATGCCCAGTATTCTGGACAATCAAAATTCCTCAGTATTCTGGATATTTTGGCATGCAAGGAGGCTGCCTCTCTCTTTGCAAAGGTAGAGAGGTATGTTAGATGTATCCATTGTCTAGCAAAGAATGGTCTTCCTCCCAGAGACAGAGAGCCTGTTGCTGTGACTTCCACACTCCCCAAATTTTCTGTTCCATCCAGATTGGAATAGTGACTCTCATATGCAAAGACATAGTCCAAGGCATTCTGACTTCTGGTTCAATGTAAGTACTGTGTCTTTTTTTCTGGTGACAGAGTCTTACTCTGGAGTACAGTGGTACAATCATGGCTCACTGCAACCTCTGCCTCCTGGGTTCAAGCGATTCTCCTCAGCCTCCTGAGTAGCTGTGATTACAGGCATACACCACCATGGCCAGCAAATTTTTTAATTTAATTTTTATTTTTTTAGTAGAGATAAGGTTTTATCATGTTGACCAAGCTGGTCTTAAACTCCTGGCCTCAAGTGATCTGCCTGCCTCAGCCTCCCGAAGCACTGTGATTACAGACATGAGCCACCATGTTCGACCAAGTGCTGTATCTTGCATGAAGATGTACTTGGTCCCTGCCTGTGGCTGGCTTGTCTACCTGGTATACCCAGTCTGGACATCGGAGGACATACAGTTGTAAGTTAATGGCTGAACAGATTCAGCTCTTTAGTTGCTTTAGGTTAAGTTTCGCTTGAATCCATGTGATCGTTTATAATAAGATAGTTCAGCAAATACAAAAATGTTTTTATATTTTGCATGATAAATATATATGAATTACAAAGAACTTCTGTTTATTCACTAAATGTTTATTGAGTGCCTACTATTTACTTGGCACAGTTATAGGCAGATATTATACAACAGTTGTTATACAACAGTATACAAAATACAGACATCCCTATTGTAATGGAGCCAAATTCTGATGGGAGAAGAGAGAAATCAAACAAGGGAATGAACTAATATATTATATACCAAGTGATGGTAAGTGCTATGAAAAAATTAAAGCAGGACGTGGAAGACAGAGAGTTGGGAAGGTGAGGGAAGTGCTTTCTGTGATGATGACATCTGAGCTCAGATATAAAGGAGAATCTGGACAATACTTGGGCTAAGGAAACTCTCTAAAGGAAAGGATCGTGTTGCCTGATAGGCAAAAAGAAGGAAGCCAAGATAAAGAAAAAGAGTGGTTTGAAGCTAGCTAAAAAACATGCCAGATTTTTCTGGCCCAGCCAACAATATTTTATCTGCAAAGGAATTGAGAAGGCATTGGTGGGTTTGAAGGAGAGGCACTACATTTGTGTTTTTGGAAGATCACTCTGGCAGTGCCTGGTGGAGAATGGGTTGAGGAGAGTGAAGCAGATACAGAGGAAGAGGGAAGAGCCCAGATGACTGGTGGTGCTATTGTTTCCAGGCTGGCCACGCTGGAGGAGGAGCAGGGTTGCTGAAAAAGATGCTCCCTTAGCTCGGTTCTGGAAGGGCGACACTGGGGCAGTCCAAGAGAGAGCCTTTCCAATGCAGATGGAAGCAGTCAGTTGAAGTAAAATTTTCCTAGAGAGGTTTTAAAGCTGGTGGCTCATGGATGGTGACTGGGGCCATAATGGGAGTGCATGGCATTATCAGGGAGCTCCTTAGGGTCAGAGAGAAGAGGACGAAAAATAGACACATAGGAAGGCTGAAGATCTGAGACCTGAAGGAGGAGCTGTGAAAACCTGGAGGCTGCTCACCAGATAGCACAATGATCAAGACTTCAGGTTCTGGTGTCCAAGCCATCTGACTCTGAATCCTGGTTTCCCAAAACTGACATGACGTTGGGTACAAAGCCTTGCAGGGTGATCGGGAGGGATTACATGTACCGTGTTTAACATCTTTAGCACATTGTCTGGCTCGTTGAAGGTGCTCAGTAAAGTGGTAAATGTGAAAAGAGATATGGAGAGGCATACGGATGGAAATTGAGATGGAGACGGAGACAGAGGTATTCCCTAAAAATGTTCAACTCGAAGTCCTTGGCAGCATTCACAGAAGGAGTGGCAGCATCTCAGTTAGCACGCCAGAAAAGGATCTGCTGTAACTCTACACAGCCCAGAGCCTGTCATGCCCTCGGGTAATGTAATGAAAGGTGTTTTCCTCTCTTCAGAACAGGTGCTCAACTGATACAATTTAGAGTCTCGAATTCCAGGGCTTAATTGTTTGTTCTACATACAAGTTAGCCCAGCTCAGAACACCTGTGGACTATGTTCTTTTGATGCACCAAAGCCTGTCTTTTATTAAGCCCTTTGTGAGCAGTCAAAATAAGACCAAATGTCCATGTGTCGCTGCCTATCCACGTGGGCATGAAACAAGCCAGCCAGCTCGAGGACGGCACAGTAAGTGCTTAAAATAGCAAGTGAATCCTTAGGCTCTGGAAAATATGGTTACGTGATTAATGTAACCAGAGTCAGAGATGAAATAACATTAAATATTTTATATATATAGAAACTTGCCTACACATACATAAAATTCCCTGTTAGTTGTACTTGAGGTTTAGCCATGTTGAATCGATAAAAAATGATTTACAGCGGATGGTTTTCAACAGCTCGTTGTGCTTTCAGTCTTCCATAAAGAAGTTAAAATTAATTTTAATATGTTGATGGTGCTTATTGATGATAATATTCATAATAAATATCCATTGGAAAAATTCTCCAGCACATCTTTGTGACAGAGAGGTTAAGAATGTTAATGACAAGCAGGACTACAAAATGCAATCCAGTCAATTACTTTAATTAAATCTAAAACTACTTTACGTCTTTTCATTTATGTAGTAAACTGGTGTGGAGAAAAGGGCACCATCTTTATCTGGCTCATTGTAGAGTCCAAAGATGTGGTCTCAGATGGTGTTTTAACATTTGTAGCTCTTATATCCTTGTGGAATATTTAAAGTAATTATGGGTCTTACAAGTAATGCTCCTGCTTCTATAAGAAGAAGAAAAGGTGGAGATTTCCCTTTGAATGCCGTTTTGTAGAAGGAGAGCTTTCTCTTCACAGACACTAATCTTGTATTTACAGACGGGGTTATATTTGGTAGAGCCAACATTCCAGGGTAAATGGGAGAAACGTCTACATTTCAGTGAATCCTTTTTAATTATATTGTTTGGGATCAGAAGAAAAAGAACACAGCTGTCTAAAGTTCTCCCTACCACAGAGGTTCAAGTGCTTATAACCCAGTCATCATGGCTGTGCAAAATGCCTTTTTATTAATTGTGTTGTCATACAAAAGTTGGCATCACCTATGTGTTTAGGCTATTAAATTTGGAGAATAGAAAGCTGCGCATTTTGGAAAATGGATCAATTGATGAATGGGCAATACATCCCATTTTTTCCATGAATATTAAGAGTGTTGGCCATGTGCGGTAGCTCATGCCTGTAATCCCAGCACTTTGGGAGGCCGAGGTGGGTGGATCACGAGGTCAAGAGATCGAGACCATACTGGTCAACATGGTGAAACCCCATCTCTACTAAAAATACAAAAAAATTAGCTGGGCATGGTGGTGCGTGCCTGTAATCCCAGCTGCTCAGGAGGCAGGAGAATTGCCTGAATCCAGAAGGCAGAGGTTGTGGTGAACCGAGATCGCGCCATTGCACTCCAGCCTGGGTAACAAGAGCAAAACTCTGTCTCAAAAAAAAAAGTGTTTAGTGCCTACTGTGTGCCGTCTAGCATTGTGGCCATCTGAACACAGCTGTAAGCCACATAGACACAATCCAGTCTGGACCTCAAGGGCTTCACATTTTAGCTTGAAGGAAATGAGGAAACAACAAAATAATTAAACTGAATTATATCAGATAAGGCAAAAACTATGCCAAAAACAAAACCCAAACAAACACAAAGGCAGGATGATGATAGGTTGACCAACTTTTCCTAGTTTGTCCAGGGCTGTCCTGGTTTTAGCACAGAAAATCTTCTGTCCCAGTTAAGCCCTCAGTCCCAGGCAAGTTGAAATGACTGGCCATCTTAGTAATAGGAAAGAGAGCAGCTAAGTGAGAATTTATTTTGGATGAGTGGTCAGGGAAGGCTTCTCTGGGGAGGTGATACTTGAGATAAGAGCAATGCAGGCACCCAGAGTGGTGGCTCACACCGGTAATCCCAGCACTTTGGGAGGCTGTAGTGGGGGGATTGCTTGAGTTCAGGAGTTTGAGAACAGCCTGGACAGCTTGGAGAAACCTTGTTTCTACCAACAAAACAAAACAAAAATTAGCTGGGCATGGTGGTGCACACATCTCTACTCCCAGCTACTTGGGATGCTGAGGTCGGAGGATCCCCTGAGCCTGCAGAGGTCAAGGCTGCAGTGAGCTGTGATACCACCAATGTGCTCCAACCTGGGTGACAGAGTAAAACCCTGTCTCAAATAAAGGTCTCACTCTGTCGCCCAGGTTGGAGTGCCATGGTGTGATCACAGTGCTCATTGTAACCCCAAACTCCTAGGTTCAGGTGATCCTCCTGTCTTAGCCTCCCAATTAGCTGCTACCACAGGTGTGCACCAACATACCTGGATAATTAATTTTTTTTTTTTTGTAGAGATGAAGGTCTCACTTTGTTACCCAGGCTGGTCTCAAACTCCTGCTCTCAAGCAATTCTCCTGCCTTAGCTTCCCAAAGTGCTTGGATTACAAGTGCGAGCCATTGTGCCCAGTGCCATAGTTGTTTTGGCCCAACCCATGCCATGGTGACAAACTTTGAAGGTATAAACTTATTTAGCTTAAAATACAAAGATGTGAGAAAGCACTTTTGGAATGGTAGAGTGAAGACATTAAAAGAAACAAACCACTTCTTCATAAAAGCAATAAGAGTACTGGAAAAATAGTTAAAAGCAACTTTTTTTTTTTTTTTTTTTGAGACAGAGTTTCGCTCTTGTTACCCAGGCTGGAGTGCAATGGCGCGATCTCGGCTCACGGCAACCTCTGCCTCCTGGGTTCAGGCAATTCTCCTGCCTCAGCCTCCCGAGTAGCTGGGATTACAGGCACACGCCACCATGCCCAGCTAATTTTTTTTGTATTTTTAGTAGAGACGGGGGTTTCACCATGTTGACCAGGATGGTCTCGATCTCTTGACCTTGTGATCTACCCACCTCGGCCTCCCAAAGTGCTGGGATTACAGGCGTGAGCCACCGCGCTGGGTCAAAAGCAACTTTTTAACTTTCCCTAGTCCCACTGCACTCCCACCAGTTTTGTAGTAACATTAACTAACAGCTTCATAAGTATGGTATCCCTGAAAGTAAGCAGCCTAGCAGTTACTGAAAGGAGAAGTCCCATCTCCAGAAAACTGTCACTATTTGACCTCTCTCACAGCTTTCTTTGATATAACTCAAGACTTTACTCTGTACTAGTAGCCTTTTACTAAACTATTTGTTGAAAACAGTCAGTGGCAATTATTTAATGTGGCAGCTACCTGAGGTGATATTAACAGGTGAGGCAACCAAGAGGCTAAGCAAGACATTCAAAAAGGAAAAGCTAAAGAATGATATGACCATAGAAGGCTTTGAAGAGCTCTAACATATTTCCGGGAACCTAGAAGTCCAAGTGCAAGTTCAGGGGTATGTACCTGCTCCAGAAAGATCTGAGGAGGTTCTGAGCTCTCATCTGACCTGAAGGTTCTGAGTCAGAGTTCTCAAT